GTGTGATTCTTGTTATTTGGTGAGCGCGAAACTTCAGTGATGAGTGAGTACAGTCTTGTGCCTTGCGCAGAATGAAAGGGTGTTGTGACAAAAGGCAACTCATGAATGGAAGAAAGAAGACGATAGAGCGGCAAGAGTGTACAAGAGACATGCACTTGTTCTGCCTCATCATTATCTGGGATAAGGGAAGTAACATTGGATAAGCTCCTCCCCGAGCGACAACTAATACCAGACTCTTGCACTAGCGCATGGTAACAGATCCCCCACTATCCTAAGCTTCACTGCACAGGCGGGTTCGGAAACGAATCCCCGTAATCGTAGGAACAGCAGTTACAAGATTTCGCAGGTATCACGAAAAAGTAAGACCAAATCTTCTCAAACGCGTGACTGTTTGTATTCATTCAAATCTTAAATGAAATCTCAAACTGCCTTTTGATGGCCGTCAAGTTCTACGCATGGCAAAGCAATCCCCGAACTGCGAAAATCTGAAGAATATAAGATTACAAGCAGCTGTGAGGGACGTGAATGTGAAATAAAAGAAAGAGTTAAATACATTTTTTGATTTTATTGCATCTAATCACTAAGCAAAAGAAGAAGGCTGTCTGAAATTCGTGTACCAAATTAGGCGCGGCTACATTTTGCATGTTGCAGCTTGCACATGAAATTGGCATATTGCCGGAGGAGTTGGACCCTTATGGCAGGAAGAAGGCAAAGGTTTCACTAGACGTGTTGCAGAGACTGAAAAATGTGAAGGACGGGAAGTATGTTGTAGTGGCTGGTGAGCATCTCCCTAATTTAGATGCTACCGGGCGTACTTATCGTATTATTATATTTATTGTATATTAAAATTTCGCAGCAGGCTATATGTGTCAAGGTTTGTTCAGGCATCACACCAACTCCATTAGGAGAAGGAAAATCCACAACTGTGCTTGGTCTTGTTCAAGCGCTGGGAGCCAAGCTCCGCAAGAACGTGTTCGCGTGCGTTCGTCAACCCTCACAAGGTCCTACATTCGGTATCAAAGGCGGAGCTGCTGGTGGGGGCTACGCACAGGTATATACGAGCCCATCCATCATGATTTTTCCTGGAATGTTGGCCTATCCTAGGTAATTCCAATGGAAGAGTTCAATCTTCATTTGACCGGTGATATACACGCTATCACCGCTGCCAACAATCTTTTGGCAGCTGCCATTGATGCCCGGATGTTTCACGAATCCACTCAGAAAGATGATGCCTTGTTCAATCGCCTGTGCCCAGCCAATAAGCAAGGTATTTGTCGGAAACCTTCTAATTCTGTTGTCATTCGAAAACATTTTGTCTCAATCACATCAGGAATACGCCCGCTTTCGGCCGTACAGAAGCGTCGCCTCGTCCGAATGGGACTTCCAAACATTGAAGATGCTAACCAGTTAACACCAGAACAACGTGTGAAATTCAGTCGACTAAACATTGACCCTAACACAATCACATGGAATCGTGTAATCGATACTAACGATCGCTTTCTTCGAGGTAAGTTCCAAGTTGCTTTATCTTCAGGCCTCTCTATGGGGGGCGGTCGTTACTTGTGAGCGGCAATTAGAATTGTCGCGACGAGGAGAAACAGTGAAACTCTCGGGGTGCAGTATGGAAAATCATCCATACTATACGTCCTCGATTGTTGATTATGTACCGTCTTTTCCTGTTCTACGGACTATGAAAACAACATAAATAACGATACGCACCTCTCTCTATGAATAGCTTAGGAATCGAGATCGGTCTTGGTCCCAGCGAGAAGGGACATACCAGGAAAACACAATTTGACATTGCTGTTGCTAGTGAGGTAATTGTTTCGAAAGGTGCGTTCTATGACAAGCAACGTTCTTGAAGATCATGGCTATCCTTGCCCTTACCACATCCCTGGCTGATATGCGAGAGCGTCTAGCCAAAATAGTCATTGGCTCGGACACGGAGGGTAATCCTGTGACAGCTGACGACCTTGGAGTGACAGATGCATTAACGGTTCGTACTCGTCTCCTTGAAAGTTCTTATTGAAGATCATCACGAACACCAAGAAGCTCGGCGCGATCTTTCGTGAGCGGGCGCCAGGCGCAAATTATCCTGTCGCATTCCTAAACTTATATAACTCCTAGGTCCTGATGCGCGACACCGTGCGTCCAAATTTGATGCAGTCTCTGGAAGGGACGCCAGTGTTCGTACATGCTGGACCATTTGCTAATATCGCACATGGACAAAGTAGCATACTTGCGGACAGGGTTCGTTGTTCAGTTTTTCATACTGAAAACCATTTATTTTCTCTCATTACTGGAGACGAAGTTGCGTTTTGTTTCAAGGTGGCGCTCAAGCTTGTTGGTGAGGACGGCTATGTGATAACTGAGGCGGGATTTGGTGCAGACATTGGTATGGAGAAGTTTTTCGACATCAAGTGCAGGTATTCATGCTCTACTAATCACTTACAGCCAGACTATTTTCACTCAGATATTCCGGTTTGAAGCCTTCGGCAGCTGTGATTGTTGCTACTGTGAGAGCCTTGAAAATGCATGGCGGCGGCCCACCGGTGACTGCCGGGGCTCCACTGAAACACGAATATCTGGACGAGAACTTAGAGCTGGTTGCAGGAGGATGTGATTCAAACCTCAGGAAGCAGGTTCCAAGCTTATAGTCGATTTACTGGGCACTGCAGTAAGGCCTTTACAGATTGAAAATGCGAACAAGTTCGGCATCCCAGTGCTTGTTTGTGTCAATAAGTTTGCGACAGATACAGGCAAAGAGTTGGATATGGTCATAGACAAGGTAACATGGTAATAACCATCTCATTACCAGATGCCCAACATGATGCTTTTCAGTCTTTGTCTCATGGCGCTGCAAAAGCAGTGGTGTCATCGCATTGGTCTTATGGAAGCGACGGAGCAGTACAGCTCGCTCAAGCTCTAGTGGATATCACATCTGGGCCAAAGCCAGACTTCAGGTAATTTTAGCTGAGTTAAGTAGTGCGTCAAGTTAATATTCTTCAGATTCCTCTACCCATTAGACATCTCATTAGAAGAAAAAATAGCTACTATTGCTCGCGAAATCTACGGAGCAGACGGAATCGAGCTATCCGAGGAAGCGCAGGAGGTGAAGCAATTTATCATAAACGTACATTTGCACAAGCATATGATGAAATTGTCGCTGGAGCGAACAAACCTTTGTTCTTTCATTTATCTATAGGAGGTCGTTGTCAAAATAAATGTCGAATGTCACTCATAGTCAACGAAAGTATGTTGAGCATAAAGTCAAACATCGTACTTTCACTTCAGCCAATTTTTCATCTGACTCATACGGATAAGGTACATTGACTGAGTTTTCTCTATCGATTATGCACAATTTACGTCTCTTTGTGGTTAAAAGAAACGTCATTTTTAGAAAATAGAGCGCTACACACGGCAAGGGTTCGGAAAGTTACCCATATGCATGGCAAAAACCCATCTATCGCTTTCGCATGATCCGACGAAAAAAGGAGCCCCAACAGGTTAGTTTTGTGTACTCCTTCTGGCACTGTGTACAGCGCTAATGTGGCCAACAAGAAAAATAAATAAAAAAGCAACTGACCAGTCCCCATTTCTAGGTTTTACGCTGCCAATTCGTGACGTGCGAGCTTCAGTTGGTGCTGGTTTCATCTATCCTCTTGTCGGTGAGATGACTACAATGCCGGGACTCAGCACTCGACCTTGCTTCTTCGACATCACCATTGATCCAGAAACAGAACAAATTGATGGGCTATTCTGAGTGCACGACGTACAAGA